GTTGTCCCACCTCCGCCTCCCAGAGTGCTAGGATCACAGGGGTGAGCCACTGCACCTTGGCCAGAAAGAGTTCTTACAGTTCCAGGTGATAGGGATTTTTGCTTGTTGTTATAAATTTTTACTTTTATTACATGTGACCAGAGAATAAAAGAATATGAGTTGAACTACTTGTGTTTTTTTTAAATTGCATTGAGATTTTCCTTGTGAGCCATCATTATATGGTGTTTTCTTGATTGTTTGTTTTGTTTTTGTTAACAAGAAAGTGTTCTCTGGGCACTTGAAAATAAAGTGAATAGCAGTCCGATTCTGAATGGAAGCCACAGTTGTCACAGTGATCTGCAAGCTCACCATTTCCTCACCGATCTCATCTTCTATGCTCTCCCTCCTTCACTACCTTTGAGCCACACTTTTTGTAAATATACCAGATATATCCTTGACCAAGCCATTGCACTTGCTGTTTCCTTTGCCTAGAACACTCTTTGCTAGATATTCATATGGCTTCTTCTCCCGGCCTCCTGATCGTCACTCACATGTCAGCACGACGAGGCATCTCTCCTTAGCACTTTTCAACATCTGACATACATTTGTGCTAATCCCCTGTTACACCCTGAGGATATAAACAAACAGTGGACGTTTTTCTGTTTGTTGTGTTACTTTTCTGGTAATCTAGAAGGCTTGTAGTCTATAGTTCTTTAGCTGGTTATCTTTATAACTTTAAGTGACACACTTAATATTTTGTTTTGAGTTATCACCTGTATGTAGACCATATCTTGGTGATTATGAAGGGAAAAAGAAATTAATATGCTTATATTTATTCCCATCTCCCATCTTTCTCTTCTACTGCAGGAATCAGACTAAATATTAGTAGTTGTTAAAAGAATAATACTATTATAGTTTTAAGACTTTAAATATATTGTACTGAAACTTAGTTCATGCGTGCTGAGCAGTATCCATAGCCTTTCCAATATTAAAAGAAGCAAGTCAGCATACCTATTGTATTGCTTCCTTCTGATTTTGTTGTTATATTATCATCATTTCTACAGTGTCAAGATTTCTAATATTTACATTCAGTTAGCTTAGATCTCCCATTTATTTAGATTTAGGTTTGTTTGTTTTTTATTTTTTATTGTTAGGGCTAGTTGATTTGGCAGGTGAGTTGTTGCCCGCTCTTTATAGATTTAGTTTTATAGTTAGATGGATTCGGTGTTCTGCACCATCCTTTATTATCATGGCGTTTGGTAAGGACCTTGCTCCACAGTGTAAGTCAACACTGTTTCCTTCACTGAGAAAATCTCGCTGTCAGACGAAAGAAGAAAACAAAAGGTCAGCTATGCCAGTGTGCCTAGTGACGTGTGTGTTTACATTTTGGTGTAAGTTCTTGTTCTCCTTGTAGACTGGAAACAGTTTGCAAATCAGCACTGGCCCGTGGAACACATTTTGAGGAGCAGTTTTACCTAGAACTTAAAAACATATCCTTGATTTTTTAAAGTCCAGAATCCCCACAAACACAAAACAATGCAAGGCCTTAGAACACTCCTGCACTACCCCTTTCTGATAAACATACACTATTTGTTGTCATGTATGTTCTGTGTATATTTTAGACATACAGTGAGTGTTGAGATTTACCCACATATTTACCTTTTGAGTTGGTCTTTGTTCTCACCTACATCTCCAAGTTCCCATCTTAGATCTTTCTCCTTCCTGAAGAAATTCCTTTAATATGTTTTAATGTAGATCTGCTGGTAACATAATATTTATTTTTAAAATTGTTTTATGTTTTATATTGTTTGAAAGTATCTTTATTTAATCTTTAATTTTGAAGGATTGTCACTGGATGTAGAATTCTTTCAGCATTTTGAGATAAAATAATAGCAGTTTAATATATTAATATCATGTGACTATATCTTAACTCTTAAAATTTATCACTCAATAAAAATATTTTTCAGCAGGCTTATGATCAGAAGAACATTAGGCGAAGAGTTTATGATGCTTTAAATGTGCTAATGGCAATGAACATAATTTCAAAGGAAAAAAAAGAAATCAAGTGGATTGGCCTACCTACCAACTCTGCTCAGGAATGTCAAAACCTGGAGGTAAGTGAGAAAATCTGTTTATGGATAGTCATTTGCATTATTTTACATCAGAGGCATTTTAATTTAAAAATATAATCATGTAATATTAAAATATTTCCAATTGTGTACACTATGTCATTTTTTTTACCAGACTGTGTAGGTAGAATTTTAGAATTGAAAGGAGCTTTAGCGGTATAGTCTTCTGTTTATTTTGTAAATGATGAAACTGAGGGACATAAAAGTTAAATGACTTGATTTGATTTTTACTGTTTCTTAGAGAAGATCTTTATTTTATTCTATTAATAATTTAATTCTGAGCACTCTGCTAATAAATTTTTGGTGAATCATATAATAGAATGATATCTTGTTTGATGAAATGCTTGCTATATGGATCCCCAAAAAAAGAAGGATCAAGCTGGCTGTTTATTTCCTGTGTTGGTTACATACACAATATTCTAAATATAGCTGTGAAAGTCAAATTTTTACCTTTGATTTTAAAATCATTAGCAACAGAATGGATTTAATTCATGTCTATCAGAATGGATAGAAGGTTCATCTTACATGAATTTTGGGATGATGTGTTGTACAAAAACATTTTTAATTTTGTGAACTTTCAGCATTAAAGAAAATCCTCCCTAAACAAGCATGTTCCTTGACATACTGTTTCTCAATTGATTTGACATAATTTTACTAGCATGGCTATAAATGGAGTAAATGGATGTTAAATATGGCTTTTGGAGATAATTAAGATTGATTTTATGTTTTTCTCGGTCCCTTTTTTTGCCCCCAGCAGATCAGAAATTATTTAGTATTATTATATTTGTGGATGGGGAGAGAAATCAGATATTCATCAGAAGTTGTAGAATAACGTTACTCAAATGCTAGAGTGGAAATATCCTCCTTTTCTCATTTTTCTTTCTTCTAATAGAGTGGAATTTCAGCATCGTTTTAATGCCCAGTAATACTAAGCATACTAAGCTGATACCAAAGACTCATTAAGCAAAAATCCTTTAGCATCTACCACATGCTTAACCATAGGTTATACAAGACAAATCTCTGACCCCAAGGAACTATCTAATTGGGGTAAGAGAGTTACCAAAAATGTGATTACTTCTATGAAAGAAGTAGTACAGATTCTCTGCACAGAGGTATAAGGCGAGCTTGACCAAAGAAAGAATTCCTGAGCTCAGTCACGAAGGAGGAGTAGGGTTTGCCGGGTGGATGAGGGCAGGGAGAGCCTTCCAGGCACAGGCACTGCATGGGCCGACACAGGCATGAGAAAGCATGCCCGGAGCAGGCTGTGGCCAGAGTACAGGCGTGGAGAAAGGGCACAGATTTCAAAGTGCGAGGCAGTGGGGACCTGATCCTGTAAACAGTGGGAAGCTATTGATAAATTATAAAGAGGAGTGTTGTTGATGTGTTTTAAAGGATCATTCAGTTGGGAGTCAAATTAACAGGTAGATGGGGAGGGAAATGGGGCGGAAGGAGGAGGATTGGAGACAGTCTGAGTTAAGGTGGTGGCGGTGAGATTGGAGAGGTGTTCTAGAGGTAGAATCAGTGCAACTTCACCTGGTTGGATGTGGGGTGTGACGGGCAGGGAGGGGCTTGGCCTGTCGGAGCTTCAGAGGCAGGAGAAACTATTACAGCATCTTTTCAAATGTACAAACAGAAAGTCACACAGATTTTACAGCGAAACTTAAGTAACTTAGGACTAAAGTGCGATAGTGGTTAAAGGAACCAAGAATGGAAACGCCTAGTACAGACTAGAGTAGATGGGGAGCAAATAAGAAATAATCTGTTGAAGTAAACAAGGAATATCTTATTTGATATGTCAAAAGACAAAATTACAACAAATGTAATTGTGATTCTAGAATTGGGCAACACCTCATTGTAATAAATAGAATTTGTGTTCCTATGAGCTGAGCAGAAATTGGCTTTATGGGCAGAAAAGAGCTGAAAAAAGCAGGAACAAAAAGTGGATTAGTCACTTCAAAGTTACTTTCCTTGTAAAAGTTAAAACAGGGGACTCCCTTATCATGCTGGCTAAAACTGACCTTTTGGGGTTTAGCTATTGTCATTCTCCCTTGATTCCTTGGAAGGTCAGGTGTACAAGCTAGTTTCGGCTTGGTTGTATGGAACTTCAGCACGGGTACTCCACTTTGGTTTGTCTGTTGGGCCTAGTGCAGGAGCTCATTCCAAACCAGTGGCCTCTGTACGTTTTACTTAACAGATGTCATTGACTTTTGCCTAAGGAGGCAGGAACTCAACAGCAAGGAAATTCAGACTCTAATATCTGTTTTCTAGGTAGTTGTGAGATTAAGAAAAATAGCAGTTGTTTGAAGCTGGAAAATTTGTCCAACAAGCACATTTCTTACTACAAGTAGCAATTGTATATTGAATATGTGGGATATCTGCATTAGCAGCTCTTCTCCCTCTTACTTGAGAGTCAGCTAAACTGATATCTTAAATAAATTTTGCCTTATTCTTAGAGGGGTAATGCAGCAAGTAATTAATAATAGAGTCTCTGGAGCCAAGTGGCTTAAGTTCAAATCCTGGCTCTTACCATTCATTAGCTGTGTGACCTTGGGCAGTTACTTAACCCTCTATGCTTCCATTTCCTTACGTGCAGAATGGATAACAACAGTACTTACCTCGTGAGGTTTTTGTGAAAGATGAATTAAGATAATATGTGTAATGTGCTTAGTTGAATGCTGGCACATAGAGTAAGTATAAACTAAGTGGTTCTTTGATTAGAACTTGAGTAATAACAGCAAACAGGTGCTGCATACCAAGTATTCATTAAGTGGATGTATTTCTTTTCTTTCCTTTTTTTTGAGACAGAGTCTTGCTCTGTTGCCCTGGGTAGAGTGCAGTGGTGTCTTCATAGCTCACAGCAACCTCAAAGGCCTGGGCTGAAACAATCCTCCCGCCTCTGCCTCCTGAGTAGGGGGGACTACAAGCGTGTGTCATGTTGCCCGGCTAATTTTTCTATTTTTAGTAGAGATGCGGTCTCACTCTTGCTCAGGCTGGTCTTGAACTCCTGAGCTCAAGCAGTTGTCCCACCTCCGCCTCCCAGAGTGCTAGGATTATAAACTTGAGCCTCCTCGCCCAGCCTGGATTTCATTTTTGACAGTTGCCATAGATCTGCTGTCGTACCTGCTTGCTCACCTCCAACCGCTGCCCCCAACAAAAGGGGTAATTTGCCTGTATTCATATCCATAGTTAAAGTGGGTTGTGTTTCTCTAAGAAAAATTCTTGATATCTCAGAATAGGGACCTGAGAAGAGAGTGATACTTTATACTCTACATATATTCATGTTATTTTGTTACCGATGTTTTAAAGATTGAGAAGCAGAGGCGGATAGAACGGATAAAGCAGAAGCGGGCCCAGCTGCAAGAACTTCTCGTGCAGGTAAAGCTGTTGGGATGTTTTTCATACCTTCCCTGTTTCTCCACTTACTGGCTCTTAGAGTAAGTGTGTTTTCTAATTGTGGTGCCTCTAGTGTCTGGTGGGTCCATACCAGGGCAATCTCCCCGCCTCCTAGCTCATTGCCATCCTCCTGCTCTGCCCTAAAGGTGGTTCCTTCTCTCACCATCATCCTGGCCCCACGGCGCTTACCTGCCCCATGTGAGACTCGTATTATCTAGCATTTCGCTTTTGACACTTACCCTTACTCTGAACATAACTGTTAGGAGTTTCTTTGTGTTTGTTTATTTTAGCCCTAATTTGGAATATCAACTAGTAAGACTAGTTAAATTTAGGTGCTTTCAGTAAGATAATCAAATCTACCTGTACTGCTTATCAGTAAATGACAGAATGACATGAAATGATTCAGTAAGATTAATAGAAATACCAAAACTTAAAATACATTTCTGTTTAAGAAAAACACATTTTATAGTTTAATGAGGATCCCTATATTTGTAAAATCACAGGACAGATGGACTTTTTCTTAACTTCTATTTTTGGTGATTGCAATTGGTGTAAAAATTTACTTCAAGTAGTGAGTACAGTTGGGCCATTTTCAATCCAATCAGATAAACCATAAAATGAGCCAAAGAGCCTTTATACTTTTGCTTTTCTCAGCACATTTTCTTTACATGAAAAACTTAACAATCAATCATAAGATCTCCTTTGATTTGAACAGCTCTAGGTTCTATTTAATTTGGGGTGTAATCTGCTTTTCAGACATAAAGGTAATGGTAAGTTATCAAATGTGTTGTCAGGTTTTTCCTTTAATACTCACTTTGCTTAATGACTAGATTATGTTGTATTCTTAAATATTCCAGATGATTTTTGTTTTTTACTTTCTTGATGCTTAATATTTGCTTAGGGGTTTTGTTTTTCCACGTCCATGTGTAAATCCAAGAGGCACAAGACAGTTTAGCCGTCCCAAGGTCTGTGGGGGATCTGAGTAGGGGAAGTGAAGGGAGGCGGGGCACGGGCAGAGGAGCAGCTGGTAAAGCAGAGACTTGGCTGACACAGAAAGGCCCAGTGGTAGCGTTCCATCCTGACCAGGTTGTTCTTTCTTTCTTACCATGTTCTGTGTCTGGTTTTCACACTGAACCCCATGGGACCTACCTGAGGAGCTACCACTGGAGCAGGCATTTTGTGTATTTTTCATATTGAGTTTCCAAATAAGGTTTTGTTTGAAGAGAGTGTTCTGCAGCTTTAAAAAAAATTGAAAGCTGGCAGTTTATTCCCATGCTCCTGCCGGTAGAATTCTGCCAGGCACTCCTCCTCTGACCCCTGTACTGTCTTCTTCTTCCCGCAGCTGCCTCTGTCCGTGGCCCTGCACAGTTACCTGCAGTATCCCCCTACCAGCTCATGGTCCCTAAGCCCTGCGCTGGGGCCTTCCTGGAATTTCCTGAAAACCATGGAACATTTTAGAGCTTGATTTTTGGCATTTTTTTTTTTTTTAACAAACCTGTTTATCAGGATGCCTGCAATTACACGTTTATTTATTAGAAAGGATGGTGCTGGGCAAGATCACCCTCAGATATACGGGACTTTCACGTCTCTAGATGCTCAGCACAAAGAACGAAGTTGAATATTTTTTCTCTGCTTAGCTCTGTGCAGTGAACATTGTACTTGTACTTTTTAGGTTCTGAATTTCTTTTTCTCTACTGTCTCTCAACCAAATATTTACAGATTTCAACCAGGGGGGCAAACTGTCAACATTTATAGAAACAGGTCTCTCTAAACATTAAGGTGAAACCCATAGACTAACAAAACAACTCTGGTCTCCTGGTAGACATAACACTTATTTCCGCCTGGTATTTCAGTTTTCTTTCTTTCATCAACTAACATTTATGAAGTTGTCATAGAAAGTAAATTAAACAAGTTGTCCCTGAACACTAATAATTTGCCATAGCTAAAGTAGCTTGATTTCCTAATAAGTTAATGTCACAACTCACTGATGTCACATGACACAGGTGACTATTACCTACATGCCACCACCTCTCTTTTATTCTTTGTAATGTAGGAGAGGAACGATGTGTGAGTAAATTATACCTATGGGTAATCCAAATACCCTACTTTTATCTGTATAATTGTCCCTTTTAGCCCTTAAACCTTTTCTGTAGCTGCTAATGCAAAATGAATGTCTAAACACACTTAAAGCTGTTCAGCCTCTAGAATAGATGTTCATGAGTGTGGAGAAGACAAAAGGCTGAAGGAAATCAATCTAAGGGCAACTACTAATAATAAGGAAATCAGTTCAAAATAAATGGGAAATGATACCCCATATACTAAGGTCCTCCCACGGCACTAGGGCTGCAAAGCTAGACACGCAGACACAGTACAGGAACAGCTCACGATGTCTATTCTAGTAGAAGGGAAAAGAAGCAAGGCAGAATTATTCAAATAGTTCATTCTTTTTCTCAGTTCTACAGTTTCAGTATATTTTTTTCTCAATATTAAATGAATTAAGCAATGAATATAAATAGTCTTAGTTCTTTAGCAATAGAAAATAATGAAGTGTAACTTAATAATATTTGATAATATTAATAGTGATAGTTTTTTTATAGTGATTGGTATTAATAATCATTTTTGGACACACTACACTGGTAGGGCTAGAATAAATTGGTATTCATTCTGTTTTGTGGATTTTGAAATAGTAAATTTTCACTATCTAGGAAGATAGCACCCAGCCATTTTAAGATAATAGTAATCTTAATGAAGCTTTACTTAAGGCCCAGAACCTGAAATAAACAATCCTGAGCATAAGACGTTGAAAATAACTTGAATTTGTCACTGCTGGGTGACAAGATATGAAACGCTAATAAAAGAGAATGAATGGCTTTGACTTCAGGAGCTTTTAAAACCATTGTCTGTTTCTTGAGCAGATAAGGGAAAAACTTGAACTGCAAAAAGTCTTTCTAGCTATGAAGTTCTATGAATATATTTGCCTTATTAGAAAAAGGGAGGTCACTTTCTTTGGCTTTCGAGTAATGGTTATAACTAAAAGTAGCAGCAAGATTCAGTATATTCAGGCCTTGATATATCTTATAATTGGTGCTAAGTCTCGGTTTCCCCAAGGATACTGAGAAGTTCTGTGGAGGTGCCTTAGAAACCATGTGACTATGCGTGAGAGCAGAGCTGGCAGGGCTTAGGACCCCAGCCCCACTGCAGCCAGCCAGAACAGTGCCACTTCCATCTGTTTTATATATTAATAGTAGATATCCATGACATTGTATTCAAAGAAAGAGATCTATGGCTTCACGTTTTCATAACCCTGGGCAAAATGATCTAAAAGGCATATTTGACCACAAATTTCAGGAATCTGTGTTGAATAAATGGTGTCACCCTTGCTGTATCACTCAACAAAGAGTCACAGGTGCCACAGCAGGCTCTCCGCCAGATTGTGACGTCCTGTTTCTATGGATGGTGGAAACCGTGAACCCTGTTATTTACATTAGGATGATGTTAGACACGATTTAAATGGGTATTTTTTCCTTTGAAATGTATTTATTGAGTTAGATCATTCTAACCTTTTCCCCTAAATGTTTAATTTTTTTTTATTTTTATTTTTTTATTTCAGCATATTATGGGGGTACAGATGTTTAGGTTACGTATGTTGCCCTAAATGTTTAATTTTTTATTAATTCATTAGTACAGGTGGCATGTCTCTTTAATCTCTCTAATTTTAAACTACATTTAAAATGTACTATATTAATTCATTTAAATTCCAAGTCACTTACCCACATTACATGTCCATATTCTTTTTTATTGACCATTATAGCAAATCGCTTTCAAAAACCTGGTACAGAGAAATCGACAAAATGAACAGCAGAATCAGGGTCCTCCAGCTCTGAACTCTACTATTCAGCTGCCGTTTATAATCATCAATACAAGCAGAAAAACAGTCATAGATTGCAGCATCTCCAGTGACAAGTGAGTAGAGAACTAGGGGATGGGTGCAGGGCTGGCCTTCTGTTAACATATTTCTACCATTTGCAAAACAAAGAAGGATTCACGCCATTATCTGCAGCCCTCCAAGGCCGGCTTCCTTGGAGCACATGAAACACCTCCTCAAACGCAGGTGCTGTCTTCTACTAGTGTGAGCTCTGTCACTAACCCTCCACAGTCCCCTGTCCTTTGCCAGCGCTGTGCTGCCTATGTTACGTGTGTAGCAGTACCTGGGCCCAAGCTATGACATGCTACATGTATGTGGTAACTCTGAGCAAGTAACTGCAATAAGTTAGACCATCACTGAGGGTCTGGAACAAGGTGGATTTGTTGGTGATTCACTAACATAGTTTATTATGGAAATATTTTAGATCAACATGTGGCATTAAAGCAATTATTTCTTTGTTCTGCTATATCGTAGTTGCATGTGCTTGTGTTTATTAAAGAATGAATGAATAGACATGAAAATGCTAGGCATATTTTCTTTTTTTTCTCTTTTAAAAAAATTTTACATTTTAACTAAGATTTATGGTATTATTCTTCGTAACAAGTAAGAAGTAGTGCTTTTCAAAATAGAGAATTAATTTGTAATTTATTTTACCCTTTAAGAAAAAGATTCTGTCAGTGGCTTCAGGCTGGGACCAGTATCATGAGAGAGTTAAGCGCAGAGTGAGACAGACCCAGGTGTGGATTGCGGCTCCCCGCTTAACACGTTGACTGCCATACTAGGATAAAAGGGAAAAAATTTTTTTCTTGGGGCCATGGTGTTTTATTACAAAAATAGAATAAAAACTTCAAAAACAAAACAATCCTTTCTAATTTAATGAAAAATTTGTCATTTTTTATTGTTTTCTGTGCGTGAGTTATATGCCACTTGGAAAATAGTTCACGTGGCTCCCAAGGTAAAGAGACGTGTGAGTTACATATGCTTCACAGGGCCCTGGGCTTAAAACTAGCATGAGCTAAATATAACTCACATGGCAGTTGATGCATTAACTGCTCCCAAACTCTTGTTTCTCAAGAACAAATAGGATTTTTTTTTTTTTTTTCAGAGTCTTGCTTTATTGACCAGGCTAGAGTGAGTGCCGTGGTGTCGGCCTAGCTCACAGCAACCTCAAACTCCTGGGCTCACGCGATCCTCCTGCCTCAGCCTCCTGAGTAGCTGGGACTACAGGCGTGAGCCACCATACCCAGCTTATTTTTTATTTCTATTTTTAGTTGACTGGCTAATTTTTTTCTATTTTTAGTAGAGACGGGGTCTCGCTCTTGCTCAGGCTGGTCTCGAACTCCTGACCTCAAGCAATCCTCCCGCCTCAGCCTCCCAGAGTGCTAGGATTACAGGCGTGAGCTACCGCGCCCGGCCAGATAGGATTGACACTAGGGCCTCTACCACTTCCCAGCCCTGTTGTGAGGATTAAATGAGATAATGCGGATAGAGGGTCTGACCCAAGGCAGGTGCTTTATTACAAGAGGTCAGCAAGCTGGGTGCAGGGGCTTATGCCTGTAATCCCAGCACTTTGGGAGGCAAAGGTGGGAGGGTTGTTTGAGGCCGGGAGTTTGAGATTAGCCTGGGCAATAGTGAGACCCCGTCTCTACAAAAAATAGAAAAATTATCTGGGCATGGTGGTGCACACCTATAGTCCCAGCTACTCGGGTGGCTGAGGCAGGAGGACCTCTTGAGCCAGGAGTTCGAGGTGAGGTCGCAGTGAGCTATGGCAAGGCCACTACACTCTAGCCCACGCAACAGAGGGAGAGTCTCTCAAAAAAAAAAAGCATATAATTTATCATCCAAATTGGGATACTTGTGAAAGCAAAGGACTCTATTGATTGTATCAGTACTGCAGCCATACCCTAGAACTGTCCTGGGGAGGCCAGCACTTCTGGTCTTCTTAGAGCTACAGCATTGCCTTGGGCTTTACCACCCCTTGCTTTTCCCTCTCTTTTCTTTACACTATTGTTTCTCTGTCTGTCTCTGCATGCAGAGATTCTGGGCCACTTAAATAAGGAGGCACATTTCCACAAATGCACATCCACAAAAGAAGAAGAGCAGTGAGCAGGAATTTTAAAACTGTTTGATAATTGAGACTGTAGACACAATAAGAAATAGTAGAGGGCTGTGAAGTCAGCCAGATCCAGGTTTTTAGTCTTTTAAGTTTCTTAATCTCTCTGAGATCTCATTCATTCCTCTACAAAAATAAGAATTATAGTATTTACCTTTTCAGTTTATAAAAGTTATAAATTCATAAAGGACCCAGCCCAATGGTCAGTAAATGGTAGATATTTGAATTATTTTTCACACACTTACAAATTTCTTACAAAAACATATGTCACAGAGGACTGTTACCATATTCTCAGAAAATCAGAATTCTAGAAAATGGTTAGCATCTCTTCAGAAAAACAAACAAACTTTGCATTCTAGTTACTCTCTAGTTAGTCTCTTATTTTGTGTGGGGAAATTATAAAATTCTCTTCTTAGTTTAGCTTTTTAAGTCTAAAATGAGTGACAGGAAAATCTGGGAACCGTTACCATGGGGGGATTACGGATACTGTTCCCCCCAGGCTGGGATCTGGTAAGCTTTCCATCTCATGGGTGGTCACTGACTCAGGCCCTTTCTTGGCCCTCCTCTGAGGGAGGCAAGGAGGCTCTGACCAGCCTGTATGAGCTCATTATTCAAGATAGGTACAAAAACTCTGTCTTTCAGTTACTTTGGTGATGCAGTCTTTCCCCTTAATTAGCCAGGAGGCTTTCCCACAGTGAGGATTAAATTTACAAAACCATCTGCTTTTAACAGATGCCTGAAATCATCACTGTGGCAGGCACCCTCTTCAGATTTTTTGTTTTTTTCTAATAAATTGTTAATGTATTTTAATCACATTCATATACTTCAGATCATTTAAATATGGCATTTTGTTTCATATTGTAATTTTTGCCCTGATCTAAGATCTATCATAAAAAAAAAATCCCTCACATAATTTTAATAGAGGGAATTTCATGACAAGGTAAAACCCTCCATTGTCACTGAACTCTGTTCCTGCAAGGCCAAGGTCTGTGGATGAAGGTGCCCCAGGGCCTAGCCTAGGAGTGCAAAGGACTGAAGTCTTCCATTTATTGCTCTTCTAAAGTGGGCTGTTGCTGGGCATAGTGGCTCACACCTGTATTCCCAGCTATTTGGAAGGCTGAGGCAGGGAGGATTGCTTGAGCCCAGGAGTTTGAGTCCTGTTTGGAAAACATAGTGTCTCTTAAAAATATGTATGTATAAAGTATGCACTAGCTAACACTTGACTCATGAAAATGAAGTAACCATTCAAAATGTTTTCTTTCTCAAAGCTAGTAGACCAACTCACATAGGGATATCATATTACTGAACTAGAAAGTCTTTTCTTTTGTGGCAAAACTGTGACCACTTGGAAAAGTATTGGATTTAGAACCAAGTGTCTTTCTCCTGTTTGTAACAGTGTTAGAGCTAAGTTTATGGACTCCTGTTTGTAACAGGAATGTTGCTTTAATTGGAAAAGTGGTTTATTTGAGATGTCATTCCCCTGAACACAGTAGAATGACTCATAGCTCTAAAGGGTAATAATTTCTAGGACTATAGCTGAAATTAGGCCCTCATTCTGTTATTTAAAGTAGAGTCCAAAACTATTCAGACCTCTCCAATACCACTGAAAACTGCACATTTTGTTTTCTGATACAGATTTGAATATCTTTTTAATTTTGACAACGCTTTTGAGATCCATGATGACATAGAAGTACTAAAGCGGATGGGAATGTCCTTTGGCCTGGAGGCAGGCAAGTGTTCTCTGGAGGATCTGAAACTTGCTAAATCCCTGGTGCCAAAGGCTTTAGAAGGTTATATCGCAGGTACGTTAACTGATGCTTTCACGCGTCGTTCCTGATTAAATGTCAAACCTTAACATGTTAAAACCTTTCTCATAGAAAACTATGAAATTTTAGAAAGCCTGTGCTTGCATCACCAAATTGAGACTTTTAGCGCTTTACATAATAAATATAGGATGTTTTTCAAAAATTAGATTATATGGGTTGTTTTTATAACATTGTGAACTTACATCTATCCAGTGTACACTATATACATCTAAATAGGCTGACTCACCACTGAATTTAGCTCTTCAGGGATATCTCTTATCTGCAATTCCCGGTACCTAGCTTAGAGCCTAGTTAGAGTAAGCTAGTAAAAGCCTGATTGATGAAAGAGTTTTTAAAAAATCCTCTCTCTTAGTGCCCTCTGGACACTTCAAGAGGAATTTTGGGCAATTTACAAAAGAAAGTAGGTACACCCCACCCAGCTCTAATGGAAAACTTTGTTATGTCTATTATCTGCCTATGTATAAGATCAAAAATATCATTCGATTAAAATTGAATTCAGAGAGGAGGATTATAGTAGAAGTTTAAATGTCAGAAAAAAAGGACAGAACAGGGTAAATATGGATTCACATTTGTGTACATTGTTCCTTCTTTACAGTAAAATATCTCAAGTTGACTGTATTTACTGTTCTTTGTCACTCCCCATCTTAAATTGTTTTTATTAAATGTTAAGTAGATACAAAAAAATACTTATATATTTAAAATCTAAAGAGTCAACACGGTGGACACCTGTGAATCCACCACCCAGTTTAGGAAAAAGAACAATCCCGGCAGGCGCGGTGGCTCACGCCTGTAATCCTAGCTCTCTGGGAGGCCAAGGCGGGCGGATCGTTTGAGCTCAGGAGTTCGAAACCAGCCTGAGCAAGAGCGAGACCCCGTCTCTACTAAAAATAGAAAGAAATTGGTTGGACACCTAAAAATATATAGAAAAAATTAGCCGGTCATGGTGGGGCATGCCTGTAGTCCCAGCTACTCGGGAGGCTGAGGCAGAAGGATCGCTTGAGCCCAGGAGTTTGAGGTTGCTGTGAGCTAGGATGACGCCACAGCACTCTAGCCCGGGCAACACAGTGAGACTCTGTCTCAAAAAAAAAAAAAAAAAAGAACAATCCCGTCAAAGTCTACTGCACCCCCTCCCCGCGGTGCTGTGCCCTTCCCCACCGCTTTAAATGGAACCACTCTCTTGAATTTGTTTTTTATCATTCAGTTGCTTTTCTTTAGAGATAGAGACAAATATGGTAAACTGGAAACAATTAATTATTTAGTTTTGCCTATTCTGACCCCTATATAATGTAATTAAAATGATATATCCTTTGGTGGTTTGACTTTTTTTTTTTACTCAACATTACGTTCTTTAGATTCATCATGTAATTTAACGTAGCTGTAATTTATACATTTTTACTTCTGTATAAAATTCTGTTATATGAATATATCATAGTTTATTTGTTCATTTTACTGATAATAAACCTTTAGTTTGTTTTCAATTTCTTGATGGTAAAATACAGTGCTGCATTGAGCATTCCTATACGTGTATCCTAGCGCCCGTGTGCAATTGCATAGATTGAAATTGTTGGGTAGGACTTGAGTGCATCTTCAGCTTTATTAGATGATGCCGACATTTTTCAATTTGATTTTACCCAATTATACTCTCACCAGCAGGATAGAAGTCTTCTATTTTCCCAATCAGGTGGGTCTGAAATGTAGTTTTTTAAAATTGAGATTTAATTTACATACCATAAAATATACCATTTTAAAGTATATGATTCAGTGGTGTTTTAGTATATTCACAAGGTTTTGTAACCATCACCACTGTCTGTTTCCGGAACATTTTTATAACTCCCGAAAGAAACCCCTCCCATTAGCAGTCATTCCTTGTCCCCAATTTCCTGCCCCCACACCCACCCCCCGGCAACCGCTACTCTATTCTCTGCCACAGTGTCTATTCTGGACATTTCATATAAATGAAACCATAAAATATGTGGCTTTTGTGTATGACTTCTTTTACTTTGCATATTTTCAGAGTTCATCCATGCTGCAGCATGTATCAGTACTTCATTTCTTTTTATTGTCAAATATATTCCATGGTATGGATGTACCACATATTGTTTATCCATTCTTCAGTTGGTGGATGTTTGGATTGTTTCCACTTTTTGGCTATTTTGAATGATGCTACTGTAGACAGTCTTGTACTAGCTTTTGAGTAAACATACGTTTTTATCTCTCTTAGGTGTATATCTAGGAGTGGGATTGCTGGGTCGTATGGCAACTTTATGTTTAACAATTTGAGGGAATGCCAAACTGCTTTCCAAAGTTGTCGTACCATTTTACAATCCTACCAGCAACATATGACATCCACATCATTTCTGACACTTGTTATTGTCCATCTTTTTAATTATAGCCACCCTGGTGGATGTGAAATGGTATCTTACTGTGACTTTGATTTGCATTTCCCTAATGACTTATGATGTTAGCATCTTTTCAAATGCTTGTTGGCCATTTGTATATCTTCCTTGGAGAAATGTCTGTTCACATCCTTTGCCTTTTTTTTTTTTTTTAAGAGTGCAGTGGTGTGATCATAGCTCACTGTAGCCTTGACCTTCTGGGTTTAAGCAATCCTATTGCCTCAGCCTCACAAGTAGCTAGAACTACAGGTGTGCACCACCACATCTGACTAATTTTTTAAATTTTTTTACAAACAGGGCCTTGCTATATTGCCCAGGCTGATCTAGAACTCCTGGCCTCAAGCAATCCTCCTTCCTTGGCCTCCCAAAGTGCTGCGATTACAAGTGTGAGCCACCACATCTGGCCCTTTGCCCATTTTTTAATAGAATTATTTGCCTTTTTATTATGAATTATAAAAGTATGCAGCATATACTTGGAAACAGAAACACAGTGTCTTGCATGTTCTATAATTTGAATATTTTTTATTAATTCAGAAATCTTCATGATTGTCCTAATTCCTGACAATTATATATTATGCAAATATTTGAATATACATATAAACAGTGTTTTTGCCTTTACTTTCCTGCATTTGTAATTATTACCACCTAAAATTTCACATCACTTTTTAAAGGCATTTTACTGTTAGTTCTAAGGTATATGACATCAAATATAAGCAAAACAGCAGCTTTAATTTTGTTTTGTTTTACAGTTTTGGCCCTTTACACACAACAAAAAAGTTTGTTGACAGGGATTTGGTTTCTCTTTGATTTTAGTTTTTAAATTGGCACCATCCACCTCCTGCATGATTGACCCCTGCTCCTCCTTGCCCCTCAGCCAACCTGGCCCACATCTCTCCCGCCCCCTCTCCCCATGCTCTCTGGTGCGTGTCCTGCTGTTTCATTAGCAGCCGGGTTGTACTGGCAGCCAGCAGGGTCTGAATAAAGGGCTTACTCAATAAATCACCAGAACTTTATTTTAGCTTATTCCCAGTGAAAAGGCTCAGGGCGATTAGGCAGGCTCTGTGGTTTTGATCTTTTCGTGACCTCATTTGCAGACTGGGATACAGACTTTCTAGTTAGTTCAAAGGAGGAAACGTGTGCCTTTAGTGTGTAAAGGGACAGAATGGCTCTTGGGTAAGAGTGTGAGAACCATTGTGTGGATTCTGCAATAATGTGAAAGAAATGTAAGCTTTTCAGATCCACTGTAAAAAGCAAATGTGATGTGTTATGCTCACAAACAAGTAAACATCTGTGTTCTGACAGATAGTTTCCATAGTTCGACATGCTCATTAATGTTCACAGAATTCTGGCTTTAATTTCATTTTCTTGTACAGACTTATTTAATGTATTTAAAGTCTCCTATTCTTCTTAGAATTCAAGTCCTTTTTTTTCACAGCTGCCTTAGTTAGACTGTAAAGAAAAAAGTTCACAAGACCATTCTGAAATTAATGTAGTCATTTAGTTTACTTTCTTCCTACATAGGAATGGCCCCACACTCGGTCAGACAATGGCAGGATACCAAAGTTTCCAATCCAAGTACACGTAGTTTCTTTCTTTCTTTCTTTGTTCTTTTTTTTTTTGCACAGTAATTGCAAAAATATTTTGATTAAATAAAATAGAAGCTCATGTTGACAAATTAAATTTTCTAAGTATACATTTGGTCTTACAATGAAAGTCAAAGAATTTCTTTTTATGAATATTTTTAATGTATCTACCACCTATTTTGTAGTTACTGTTGAAAGTCACTGAATTCATTCAGTGACATTTAGATCTTATATGTTCCAATTACTGCCTTCTTTGAGCTAACATTATAGATGAGGAGATCAGCATTAAACGAGTGAAATTGCAGTAAGAATTGATCGGTGTTGTCATAGGAGAAATATGGTATATGTATAGAAAATAAGATTGCATGGATATACCCAAAATATTTTCTGTAGACTAAACAGTAATGTCTGCCTCATCCTCATTAAAAACATGACCGCAAATGACCTTTTAAAATAAGGGCTAGGTTGAATTATAAAGCAGAGGACACCAGGGAAAAACTTGTCAGGAAAAAGAATAGGTCTCTGATGAGTAATAGGACCGAGTTCACCAGTAGGCACTTGACAAGACAGTGCACTGGGGGTTTTGGGCAAGAATGTGTCTGTCTGTCCCATAAGCAGGGTGTCCTTACCTAAGATATTTCTGATTTGACTTTCTCTTTACCCACTCCTGGCTTTGGCTATTAACACTACAGTCAGGGTCTTTTGTGTTGAGGACAATAGGCATTCAGGATGGTACCGATCACTGTACCCTGTGAGCTACCCTCTGGAGGGCTTATCTAAGAAAAAAGAATAAGTAAGATTCTATGATTATTTTAATTTGAATTCCTTCTGCCTATAATCTGCCTTCCTGTAGTTTTTCCTGCTCTTATGTTCTAGAATTTTTTTTCTTCCCAGAAGATGAAGAAACCTGGGTGGTTCTCAGGGCAGGAGACTTGTCTGGCTATAATTAAGAACTTGTCCCTTACTTTTCTTTGCCGTCTTCAGACTGTAACAACATGAGCCATGGAACTCGGAGAGCCGACATTTTCTGTTTTCATTTTTTCCTTCAGACATCTCCACAGGACCTTCTTGGTTAAATCAGGGACTACTTCTGAACTCTACCCAATCAGTTTCAAATTTAGACCTGACCACTGGTGCCACCTTGCCCCAATCAAGGTATGTATTTTTATCAAGGCTGGAAAAACAAACTACAAAGCCTGGCTCTCTCTGAAGGGGCCGAGTTAGTGTCAGCACAGGTCCTGAGCAGGTTTGTGGCAGATCTTGCCACTGGCACCTCCTTCCTATGTTTTTATTCCTGTGTTTTCCAAAAATGTTTCTACCACATTGACGAGCCTATGTGTTTTTAATTGTTTGCTAGTGTAAACCAAGGGTTATGCTTGGACGCTGAAGTGGCCTTAGCAACTGGGCAGTTCCTGGCCCCAAACAGTCACCAGTCCAGCAGTGCCGCCTCTCACTGCTCTGAGTCCCGAGGTGAGACCCCCTGTTCGTTCAACGATGAAGACGAGGAAGATGACGAGGAGGATTCCTCCTCCCCAGAATAAAGACAGGAGAAAGCCTACGTTTTAATGTTTGATGCTCATGTGTGTTTTTAGTGTGAGCTCTTGTTTTTGAAATGATTGCTTCAGTCTTTGCCTTTGTTTGCACTGTGTGTTCCGTGAAAACTAGAGAAACACAATAAGCAAATTACATGAAGGCTGAGATGATTGAGATGAAAGTTAATGTAGTGTGAATGAAAATTCTGACCAACAGAGCAGTAGATCATATCGCAAACAAAGCATGATTTCCGAGGAGATAGAGGGAACGAAGCTCATTTATTTCCCGTGAGGTGGGGTCTTTGTATTCCCCACACCCACGTAATCCTTCTTAGAATCGAGGTTGCTGCAAGGAACAGTCCTTGACCGTCATGCTTCTGAAGTTTCTCTCCCTCTCCCGGACTGCCTACTACAAAGCAGAAATGAACAGGAAACGTCCCCAGAGGGGACGGTTGTGCAGCAAGGGATGTGGAGGGCAACCCTTGTGGCCTGGGGAGCACAGATTGAACTGCTGAACTAGTTGAAAGTCTAGTTGAGGTGCTTTACGCATCAGCTGCCTTAGACAGCTTCTAGAAAGGAGCAAGCGATAATTCTTAAGTACTTAAGTGACATTTAGAATAATTTATAGTAAAACTGAAATTATCATTATTAGCCAATGCATTGGTGCATAGAATTTACTAGGGCTCCTTCTGGAAGCCAAAATAGAATAGCATTTCCATGTGCATTAAATACTTTGCCAGCACTGCCTTTTGCCAGCATTCTAAATCTGGAGTTTTACAGAGAAGGGAACTGTATCTGTAGTTTTAATCAAAGCTATGCATTTCACACAGCTTTTTCATTTAAAATGAAACAAAGAAATTCCTATGACCAAATTGCTTGCCTACAGTTCCCTGCAGTAATTGTATGATTTCACCTAGTGTGCAATTTGTGAAAATGAACCAAATGTCATTTCTTTCCTTTTAAAAGAAAAATCTGTTTCGAGAATATGAACAGCAATGTTTTCTTGTACATGTCACCTTTTTTCATATTTTCAGTAATCAAAATGACTTTATTGGGTTTATTCCTGGGTAAATTGTATTGCAGACTAACCCCATATTCAGTGTTTCACAGAAATATTGGAAGACATTGAACACTCCACAGACTGGATATATAGTAGTAGGGTGTGTGGTGTGTTATTTCACAGCCACTGGTGCCGTTAGAAATACTGCACTGGTGTATTCACAGTTACTGCTCCTCTGAATAGAGGAGTGTGGGGATATCCAATGCCTTGGCCAGACCCCCAACTTAATTTCACATAAAGACACCTTAAAAAGGAAAAAATAATAATGGGAGAATTAACTCTAAAGCTTTGACTTGAATTGTATAGATTTGTCCCAAGATTGTATATCTAGCATCTGTGGGTCCAACACCAAGCTTGGCCCAAGTTGATTCTTTCCTAAATTGCTTGGGGAAGTACAGGCTCTATCCTATTATGCTTTTTTTTTTTGGAGACAGCATCTTGCTCTGTTGCCTGGCTAGAGTGCAGTGGCATCATCATAGCCCACAGAAACTTCAGAGTCCTAGGCTCAAGTGAGCCTCCTGCCTCAGCCTCCTAAGTAGCTGGGACTACAGGCGTGCACCACTACAACTGGCTAATTTTTTTACTTTTATTTTTGTAGAGACCAGGGTCTCACTCCTGCTCAGGTCTCGAACTCCTGACCTCAAGCGATCCTCCCACTTTGTCCTCCCAGAGTGCTAGGATTACAGGTGTGAGCCACCTCGCCCAGCCCTGTAATGCCTTTTTAAAGCTCTACCACCATGCTTACAGTGAGCTGGGGGGTGAAAGCTTTGGCTGGCTTTAAATTTTTATTAAGGCCATAAAAACTGATAAACAAGAACATACAACTTTAGCTTGAGCTCTCATTTTGTCAGAAATAAGCCATAGTGCAGACTCAGAGCGTTCAAGGGGGCAGAGAGATAGAGGCAGTTTCTGGAGAATTATGTCTTAGCGTGAGTTCTGCAGCACGCCTGTGAGACTGGTCAGACCGGAGCAGTCGGGAACACTGCAGGGGCTGCAGCAGGTCTCCAGGGGCCTATGGGAGACATTTCTGACTGGAAAGCTGCCAGCTGCACAGATCACGTAAAATAGGATTTCCTTCCACACCGTCCCTGATGGGGCTGCCGTCTCCTTTACTAACCCAAACCTTCTCCTTTCTTGACGGGGAACCCGCAGGGACCTGGAGAGGCCAAAGGTCTCAGCCCCCTTTGTAGTCTTCAAAGTACTGAACTACAGGTCCCAAGATAACATTTCAAAATGTAAGAGAGGTACATGAATTATAACTCTTGCTCTAACCAAATTGCAAAATCCTTGTTAGAGTTCTGGGAAACCATTTTCTTCTCTGCTCTCCATCTCTGCTGCTACAGTGCTTTAAATTGATAAAATATGGGCTTAAAACAAGAAGGCAACCAAAGACCCCTATCCTCATTGGTGGCCCGTAATTGGCCGTCCTGGCCACAGGTGTGTGGTGTTTGGTAGGAAGCGGCCCCCGTTCCTCAAGTGATGTGTTTGGGCTAGTGCTGAGGACGTCTCACAGAGTGACACCACTGTCAGCAGCACATGTTGCTGGTGTAAAACCTTGCCTGGAAAAAACTAGGTTGAGATGTTTAGAAAGATAAATTATCTTATTCTTCTGCTATGTCTCCTCTAAACATTCTGCGTGGGTCTAAAGTTCAGCACTGAGTCATCATCTCATACATAAATCAAAGTGAAAACATGTTAGGAAATTGTGGTCACAACATCCAGGCTTCTTTGTGGGAGTAGTGCTGGCACACACTGCTTTTTGCCGGGAGTTCAAGAGGCCTTTTCCCCTGCGAGGGTCAGTTTGGCTGTTACCCCTTCCATTGTGTAGCGTCAGTCAGTCAATTCTGGTGGCACCACGGCCCATATGTCTGGCCCTTAGTGGGATCGCCAGCACCGCCAGGGTGCAGAGCAGTGCCGAGGTGTCCCCTCACACTTGCCCACTGGTGAGAAGCAGTTCATGAAGTGTGTGTGCACACTGTGCCTCATGCTCCTGGAAGGCCTTGGGGAGAGGACAGGGCGGGAGGGACTAACTCAGTGATCCTCCACTTCTCACTGTGCCCGCTGCCTGCGAAAGCTGCGGTTGAAGGCCACGTTTAATTCTTTAAAGAAGTGATGGGGAGAAAAATCTGTGAGATTTCTGCCATTTCAGCAGGATAAAAAAGAATACCTCCTGCCATTAGCAGAACGTACAGTTGTAACAGTACTCTGCCATATTTGAAAAATAATGCCACAGTCCTCAAAAGCAAAATAGCCCCTATCAGATATTTCTAATGGAGATTTTCACAAAGGAGTAGCTCAGTTTAGCCTTGCATACATATGTAACTGGGCTATTTGCTAAACCACAATTCATTTTGGCTACTGGAGTAATAGAGATAGCAGAGTTGCTCCAAGTACAGATGTGAGTTAGGCCCCTGGGATGATCAGAACACTGGGGAGGAGGGCAGAGATTAGCAGGGGATGGGAACTGCCTCAGGTATTTCTGCCATAACCACAGAGATGAGAGAGAAGAAGCCTGTTTAGCTTCACAAATGATTCATTTCAAGGGCCCTTTAAATACCTGTCAAGCTCCCTCCCCTAACAAAATGAGCTGTCCCTACTCAATACATCTGTGAGGCCGTGCTCAGAACCGTGCTCAGAACCGTGCTGCCTTAGTGGTAAGTGTGGGTGAGGGTTGGACAGTGAGTGTAAAGATTTAATCCTTCGTTTAGGAATTATGTGAGTACCTACTGTGTGCCAGGCGTCGGGGAGAGCAGCGACAGCCCTATCATTCTGCTGGAGAAACACGATCACAGAAAACATTCAGATTGATTAGTGCTGTGGGAACAAGAGCAGCGTAGTGGGCAGTGGGGGAAAGGCCACATCGGCTGGGAGTGGCCTGGGAAGGCCCCTCTGAGAAAGTGACTTTTGTCCTGAGTCAGACAGTGAAAGGACAGGTGTCTGTACCTTCTTAACAAGCCACTCAATGCCGTAACGTGCACTTGGAATCTCTACTAAGTTCCAAAGGCCCTGCAATTCCAGTTTTAAGCATACATGTTGGAGTCTGTTAAGGAATGTTTAAGACCTAAAAGAATACCAATCTTAGCTACCAGTGGTACTAACAAACTCATGAACTTCTCATATTAGCTTCATTACCTTCCAACTAAACCTACACAGTAGAAAAGTGATTAGAAATGGAGAACTTTTCTACACAGTTCCTGTGTTGTTGGAGACATAAAGATCTGTTTTTGTATTGGATGCGTGCAAGATCGTCTTTATTCTGCATATGGGCTGGCTTCAGTGCGGCTGCAGATTAGACTGCCTCAGAACCGTTTTCCCACATGGGTTCCCCATAGTCATGCGCTCAAAGCAATGGCCCCCACACACTGGTGACCATTAATATGTATTTTTCAAAGGCCCACACTGTGTGCCAGGAGCCTGCGCCCTGCCACTTGAATGACCCTCAGAAATGTGCCTCCCTGCCCTCAAATTCACAGTTGATAACAGTGTTTGGTTAAACTGCCACTCAAACCAAAAACGCTGTTACTCAAAAGGAAAAAGCCTGATATATACATATGATTTTGCCCTTTTTAAAAAAAAAAAAAGCTAAATGTCTCAACTATAAATTTAAATATATTTAAAATATAAATTATAACATTTCTCAGGAAATAATCCCTTTATATAACCAAAATGTCTCTGAAAAGTTATGCTTAGATAATCTCTGAGATCAATTTTCCCACATTTGTCTACGTTCTCAACATGCTAAGGAAGAAAATGTGGGTGGACACAAAACCTTGACCTTATGCCTGTGCCCTGGGAGTTTCTGACAGGTACAGAAACTTATCTGGTAGGAGACCCCCATTCACCACGGTATTGGGACAGGAGAAAGTATGTTCGTTGATTATGTATACTCTCTGCAGCAGCTGTTCTCTCAGACAAGGCAAAATCTTACCTCGTTCTTACATAGCATTTGCTTTACAAAAAAAGCCTGTAGA